GCTGCATCGGGCAGGGTGGATAGGGGTTTGGATGCTACTGCTCAAGCCTTCCCTTCTTCTTATTCCCTCTTTTGCGCTTTTTCACCCTTATCGTTCCGTACCAGCTTCACTTTCATCCCCCCTGTTTTCAACCCCCAATTCTCGGCCCTCCCCCACCTTGCTTCAATAGTCGCTTGTCTTTTAGTTTCAACTCACATGTGAACGCGAAGCGTCATTCCTGCACTGTCAACAGGCCCATGTCCAAGCAAGCGGTGCACCCCAGTTCATCGGCTTCCATTTGGAGCCCTCGATCCTCCTTCAGATTGGCATGCCTCAATGTTCGCACATTGCTTCAGATCGGTCAACAGGCAGCACTTGCTCGAACATTAGAGACCCTATCGATCGATATCTGCTGCTTATCGGAGACCCGCCTGCAAGACTCGAGCTCTGTACTCGCTCTGCGATCCCCTTCAGGTGACGCAAGCAGTGTTTTCTCATTGTGCCTATCCGGTGACGATGCAGCTTCGAGCACCGTCCAAGCCCGTGTTGGTATTGCCCTGAGTCCCCGGGCTGAAGCTACTCTGTTTGATTGGATTCCAGTCAGTAGCCGGATGTGTGCGGTCCGATTGGCTGGCTCGTTCAAAGCTTCGAAGTCGCGTGGGACTAACAGGTGTCTATTCGTTATCGCTGCCTATGCATCCACAAACTGTAGCGATGACTCGGTAAAAGACGACTTCTATCGTCAACTGAACGAGCTCCTTCGCCACAGAAGAAGCTCGGACACTGTAGTGTTGGCCGGGGATCTGAACGCTCAAGTTGGAAAATTATCCACAGATGAGCTGCATCTGGGCGGCCAACATGGTATAGGCTCCCGTAATGATAACGGTGAGCGGTTACTTCATTTGTGTGAAGATGCTCGCTTATTTCTTGCGAGCACTAATTTCAGACACAGCACCCGCCGGAGGTTGACTTGGCGCCCACCAGCCTCTAACCAGCTATGGACGCAAATCGACCACATTGCGATAAGTTACTGATGGAAAGGCTGCGTCCAGAACTGTCGCTCGATTTGGAGCACAGGTGTGGACACCGACCATGCACTTGTATGTGCTGACCTGCGGATGCGCTTTGGCGGAAGCCCACGACGATGTTGTGAACGCATTGACACCAGCCAACTGGTGAATCCAGCTGTTCTGAATGCCTATCAAAGTACGCTGTCATGCGAGTTAGATAAACGCTCACTGGATGCAATTGAAGGTCACTGGTCTCATATTCAGCAGACCTTAATAGCAGCAGGAAAATCCTCATGTGGTATGTCTAATCGCCAACATGGACATTGGGTCTCTTCACAGTCTCTGGAACTTATCGATGCTCGCCGGCATATTCCGGCTGGAAGCGAACACAATGAAACTCGCAAAGTGCTTCGGGCAAAACTCCGTGCTAGCCTGAAGAGAGACCGCGAATCCTGATTGTCTAATCGTGCAACAGAGATGGAAATGGCCGCTGCCCTTGGTAACCATCGTAAGTTATTCCGGCTGATACGGGAAACGGGCAGTGGCACACCTGGGGTTAGTGAAGCTATACTTGACGAGAGTGGACAACCTATCCACAATTTGTCAAAACGTGTAGAGCGTTGCGTTGAGCACTTTGAAGGGCAATTTAATCGGTCGGATTGGTTAGATTTCTCGCCGGCCGCTGATGGCCCCGCTCCCTGGGCTGTCCCTTTGGATCCACCCTCTCGCTCCGAAGTCGAACGTGAGATCGAACTGTTGAAGTTAAACAAAGCCGCGGGACCAGATGATCTTCCTCCAACCCTCTTCAAATTCGGGGGACCTGTTCTTGTGGTTGATTTACACGAGTTACTAGTCAAACTGTGGGAGCAGGAAACTGTCCCAACCGATTGGAGCCGCTCCGTCATAGTCCCAATTTTCAAAGGAGACTCACGATCAGAATGCAGCAGCCATAGAGGAATCAGTCTGCTCTCCATCGCCTCCAAATTGCTTGCCTCTGTCATCCTTCACAGACTGACTGGCACTCGTGAAAGCTAGATTCGTGAAGAGCAAGCTGGATTTCGTCGAGATCGTGGCTGCATTGACCACATCTTCACCTTGCGTCAGTTGTTGGAGCACCGTCACACATATTGGCGGCCCACTATTGTCGTGTTCCTCGACATCAAAGGTGCATTCGATTTGGTGGATAGACATGCACTTTGGGACTATCTACTCAGGAAATGTGTCCCTGAGTAATATGTGAATATTATCCGAGCATTATATGCGCGTAGCTCGGGCAGAGTGAGGGCTTACGACAAGTTGTCGTCGCCCTTTAATATCTCCAGCGGTGTGAGACAAGGATGCCCGCTGTCACCTTTCCTCTTCAACTTCGCTGTTGACGAAGTCAACATGACACGACTTTAAAGGTGTGGAGCTACTCCCAAGAGAACGACTTCTTGACTTAGAGTATGCTGATGATATTGCCCTAATCTGTGACAGCTCCCAGATGTGCCAAGCGGCACTGGACAGATTAGCACTAGCTGTCCGTCACTTCGGGCTTTGCTTCGCAACCTCGAAGTACAATGCGTTCCTCCAAGATTGGTCTGGACCGCCCCCCACTCTGACCGTTGGTGGGGATCAGCTAGAAGTCGTTCATAAATTCAACTACCTGAGAAGTTGTATCAGCGCCCGTGGGATTGATGATGAGATCACGAACCGCATAGCAAAAGTTCGGGGCGCTTTTGCTAACCTTCGCCACTTATGGCGCCGGCGCGACATTACTCTTGCCCTGAAGGGTAGAGTGTACAATACAGCAGTACCTTCGACCCTTCTGTACGGTTGTGAAACCTGGCCGCTTAAAGCAGCGGACATAAAGAGGCTAGTTACGTTCGACCACCGGTGCCTTCGTAATTTAGCTCACATCTGGTGGGAACACCGCGTGAGCAACGAGCGTGTTCGACGCCTTGTTTATGGCACAAGAAAAGGAAATGAACCGCTCAGCACCGTTATTTCACGCACCAGGCTCCGATGGCTGGGCCACGTGTTACGCATGTCAGCCCACCGACTCCCGCGACGTGCGTTGTTTTTTGCGCCGGGGGTGTGGATGGAAGAAGAGGAGAGGTGGCCAAGCGATGACTTGGTCCAGAGGAATAAAGGCCCTCATTTCGGAGCTGGCCTCGGTTGGAGCGTCGCGGCTCCCTGGTTGGGATCCAAAAGACGATGAACACGTTTGGCTAGATGCACTTGCTGACATGGCAAGGAGCCGTCCTCAGTGGTGTTCCTGCTGTGAGTTTCTTTGTCCCACCCCATCCCTTTAGCCTCCCCCTCCAACCACGATCTCATTAAATAGCCTTATATAATTTTGCATAGTAATTTTTTTTGACGCACAGTAGCCGGCTGGTAGCTTACCGGAACGATGCCCATCCGTTACCGGTAGCTCAGCCGGGTTGCACCGGTTGCATTTTTTGCTTTTTTCTATGGTTTGCAGCACAGTAGCTGAGGTGTTCCCCGCCTCTAGCTAACGTGTATGATGATGATGGTGGTGACCTGGATTGGAGAAAGTGATATGTCAGTTGAAATGGTAAGAAGAGAGAAGGGAGACGTCACTAGTAGCATGTTTTCGACTGTCCACCCAGCTGCATGCAACAGATGAAGCTACCATTTTTGCCCTGCCACCACTACGCGACGGCCAATGTCGCATCACATTACCAATATTGGTGTATTTCATGGTTTGGTTTTGGACTGGTTACTGCCAGATCGTCCGTATCTATAAATAAACAATAAATACATCGTCAGCTGTACGTCGTAACGGCGTGGTGAGTGTTCCGAACGAAGCACAGCCGCTCTGAGTGAGACTCGATTTGCTGAGGAGGCAAAGTTGCATGAAGCTGGTGCTGGGCACACGTGCTACTGATTGGGAAACGCCACCACAGCACCAAGTGAACTTGCGGTCGGATTTGCATTATCCAATCACCTAAATAGCCAGCTGGTGGGAGGACCGACTGGCATCAACCCACGGTTGATGATTCTTCGCGTTCGCCTTTGATGTTTCAGGTTTGCAACTTTTATCAGCACTTTGGTCCCACCATGTGTTACTCTGATGACACAGCTGATCAGTTCTACACTGAATTGTACTCGATGATGCCGTTGGGAGCCAATATTGATTCAACTCCTGTGCGCTTACTAACTATGGCGATGAGCTGCGGCCCTTTTCATGGTACAAGCACTGCTTGAACCTAGCGCTGCCACGAAGGCCATGTAATCTGTGTTCCCCTGCAGCGATTGATACATTTCCGGACTCAATAATCTCTGTTGCGGTATCAAATTTTTCGAAATCTCCGTAACCCTTACATCTGGCATAACTGAATATGATTACCCACACGGTAACAAAGTCACACGCATCATACATTCAAGTACAATCCAACTGAAGTGACGCTCTGTGGTACAGGACTCGTCTGCCCCACAATCAGCCTCGTTGGTGCCGGCTTATTGACCCTTCATTCCCAACCGGCGGATGAGAATACACAACTATACTGAATTCAGAGTATTCCGTTGAAATGTTGATTGTTCTTACGCATTTTTGCCAGATATATCGCACGGGAGTTCGGGGTTCCGTGATCTTAGGGCTACAGCTAATGCGCATCATGGAGGTCTTAAGGCAAATGCCTCTTACCCCCACAGCTTCAGTTTATCTCATCATATTAACAGTGCATCTTGGAATGCACCTTCCCACTTTGTTATTCAAAAATCGTTCCGTTGCGCCTTTGGAACTCCAACCCCGAACGAACTGAAAACTGTGGCCTGTCATCTGCTATTTTCCGTTTGGTTAACTTGATTTAGTCGTTTGCATATTTCTCCTTATCCGATGGGGCATAGTTTGCCAGTTTTCAATCTTTAGAATCAAGATTTTAACTGTGCACAGCCTATTGCGATAAGAGAATGATAACTTGCACAGATTAACTCACTATGCATCGTAATTCCCGAGTTATCACAGTGCTGTTATTTTTGTCTATTTTCTTGGCATGCCTTTTGCAGTGTTCAAAATGCCATTTCTTACCGACCCTCGCCTGGCAAGCTACTTCCTCCCCGGTTATCCAGCAGCAATCGCGGCAGCTATGGCTGCAGTCAACGCCGCCTCTGCATCTTCCGGTATACAGTCATCGGTTCAGTCGACTGTGTCAAGCACTACAACACCAGGAGATAGGACCAGTTTCCCGGTTTCTTCACCCGCTGGTACTACTTGGCCCAACTCCTCAACAGGGCATCTTTGTTCCGCTTCTCATTCTTCATTTTGGCCCACACCGTTTGGAAGCGGTGGGTCCTCATCAGGTTCTTCATCCGGCTACGCCAGCTCTGAAGGCAGCGTCGGCAACGCTGGCAACGGATGGTTCAATTCAACTATGTCACCTAGCGGGTTCAATTTCTCACAGTACTACCCTTACCCTAACCCTCCTTCCACCCTCCGTCATCCACGGATAACAACACATCCTCCAGGTCGATCTACTAACGGTAGCAACGCAGATCTTCCCCCAACTGATCATCCTCCAAATTCCACCTTGGTGAGTCAACCACTTGAAATTGTGTCCTATCTACTATTTCTGTTTGTTTAATCAGTTGTTATGACTAATATGCACTGTCACTCGCGCCTCATCAACATCCCTTCGCTAATGGTTCAGTCTCCATTGGCGAAACCAGAAGAAACTGGGAAATGCTTTGATGGAGTCGTGATGCGCTACATTATTTGTGTATTACTCACCGTGATCTGAGTTATAAGTTCATCGATTCCTTCTTGTTTGTTGTGCCTCGTCTCTTTCTCTTACTTAGACCTTAATTTCGATCGGTCCAACACTATTCGCACTTCCTTGGATGTTCTGTTCTTCATATGAATCAGCAGCCGGCGTACAACATTTTGATAAGCCTTTTGGTCATCTGTCGCTGATGACAACGTCGCGTCTCAATCACGTCTGCATAGGCGGACTGGCCATTCACGATGCACACTCACTGGTCTGTGCACTACTGACCTGTCAGTCACTGTGTCATGACACTACCTTCAGGTCTCGCTTTCTTCCTCCATGAACCTCCCACTACTCTCTACCCGCATCTGCTTGTGAATGCGCTACTTGCACTGTTTCCTAAAAGTGGCTATCCAGGTCTTCTTGCGGTCTATCTTTCTGTCTACCCTCAACCAATATTAACCTACCAATACGGCGGTGATTGATTGTTAACAAGCTCAGCTCTAGCGCTCCTGAGTGGACGCGAACACATGTTAGGTCGCCGCCACCCTCCACGGCTCATGATGATAGTGGTCCCGTTTGTTGGTTTGTTTAATTCACTGTAAACAGCCACCGCTGCGATAGAGAGCAACGTTGGTCTACTTTCTTTTTCCCACTATAGGTTTCATGTTTTAGTCAGTGGCGCCCGGGTTGATTGACTTTGTCTGAGTGTGTCCGCATCGATCAGCGGCGACCTCTTAAAAATCAACCAGCTGACGTGGTGCAGAGTGCGTGTTTGTTGGTATGGCCTTCACCTCGTATCGTTTGCGTTCGACGCTTACTTGGAGTATTGGTAGATTGAATCAAGGGAGGCAGAATCAGAGTAAAGAATTCTTTTCGGTAATTCTCATCGGACTCAAACATTACATGATGAGGAGAAAGTGCTAGATGTGCCGGATTGGGCTGCGTATTGAACAGAATATTTAATTTCACGTGTACAAATCAATAAATCACGGGGTCATTGGAAGTGGCAAGTGTGTACAAGGGAAATCATAGCCGAAGTTGTAAGCCACGGTAGAAGTAAAGGACGTACAAACTGTTTTTGTACGCACAATTTTGACTTGAGGTGGCGGATGTAGATAGCTTCCGCAATAGACAGAAGATGCATCCGGAATCCGCGCGTGAAACCTTCAGGAACAGTATAGATGACTCTAAAATCATTTTCCGTCCCTGCGTGCAGTCACGCATGTCCGACCAATCGAAAAGTGGTCTTAGTTTCGATAGGACGACCTAGTACGTCGTTATTATGTATGGCATTGTTCTAGCACCAGAGATATTGTTTATGTGTAATCATTACACCTTGTACCAAAGTGGCTGCTAGTCTGGCTGACTTATCTGCTGACCAGGGAGCCACTACAGTATAATGTTTATGAGCTTTTTCTAGACGAGACTCATACATTTCCTCCTTTGGTCTATTTTAAAGATGGGCATTACGGTTGGTACCGTCACAGGGCATTCTGTCAACCAAGATATCAGTCGGGTGGACCCACCGCGAGGCGCGGTAAAGGAAGCTATAGCTTCTCTTTGCGACCATCAATTGATACAGTCACGACTAGACTTTGCTATGAAACGATGATTTGCGTCCCTCAGTGATATTTGGAGCTATACGCAGTGCCACCTTCCGAGTGTGTTCGATGTCACCTATTCCGTGTTAGTGATTAATCATCATCGGTTCCACTATCCTTATTGGTCCCATTCCATCAAAATCGGCAACGCGAACCACCAACTTCATGTCTATAGCTCAGCTCATATGGAATTGATCATGAATACCGTGAGTTATCTCCGGTCTTGGGAAACACAGCTCTCTCGCGCATCGGTTTTCTACCGCCTGTTCCAAGCCAAGCTCTCAATCAATGCACTGCGTCTTCGCCCAAACCTGATCTCAGATGTTAAGTGACACACTAGAAAACACGAAACCGGTATTGATCTGTCCAAGGTTTGCCAATGGCCGGTTTGAAGCTGGTCCTCATAGGACTCCTGAACTCTCCATTGCTTTTGTAATCGAAATATTGTGTATGTAAGTCCCCTATGTGTATTTCAATGTATATCAACATGACGTCACAAGGTAAGGGGTTGAAACTTAGAACAAAATTCCTCCCTCTCTCTCTCAAGGTTGGAAACCCCGCTGGGCCCCATCGCTAGCTGTCTTTTCTCTTCCTGTGCCTCGCAAACTTCCTAATTCTCCTGTTCTCAGCTTCCTCGATGTCTCAGTGTTGTTAACGCTTGCGAGCGCATCGAGTAAGTAGTACTGAAGTAACAGGCCGTACTATGCCACTCACGACTGTATGTTGAACCGATAGTACCCACGCTGTCTAGGTCGTCGTTCACATGTCTGCTGACCAGTTTGTCGTCTTCCAGTATTGCATCCTGCTAGGTGGAGCATCGGGATGGCCATCCAATGCCACGGCGAAACATCATGAATAGTAGTACTGAGAGATTGGATCGGTTTGGTCTACGTCCATATGGTTGACTAGAAATTCTGTCTGATATGGTATTGTCAGCAGTATCCTTGCTTTCTCAATCCTGCCTCACAAGTCTTAAATCCTAGTGATCATTCTGCTATTCTGTTGCTTGCCTACTCAGAATCGAACATTTTTCTCACTTAGATGTCTTGTCTATTCCACACCATTTCCAAATGGTACCACAAATGGTATCCGAAGCTCGCTACGTGCATGTCATCTTATCCACCTGTGTTTATTGCACAACAGAATGGCGCTCCACCGCAATCACTTCGATTACTGTGGTACATTTAATTCATTGTCTTTTCGGTTGAACTTAGTTTGTGCCAGTGAGCGTAGTTTGTTACTTGTCTAGGGTGTATTTGCTCATTACATGCCAGGCCTGACGGCTCTTGAGGCGAGTGTTGGCAGGACGCTAGCCTGTGCTATGTCCCCCACCTCGGTTACTGGCTGCAGGAGACCGCTCCTCGTTGGTGAAGGCCACAGGCTGCACGGTCTTCATGACAGTGTTACCTACATAGTGGCATCACCATGAAATAGATCATACCACAACCATTACTTGGTTCCGCCATTTCTGTATAAGTGAGGTCAATGTTGTAGCCTCAACCGACTCTGAGACAATTGTGTCTCCAACCTGCATACCCCATTGTACTGTACTTTCAAGTTTACATTATTATATTTCTACCCACATTTATCGTCCCTTTTACCTCGCATCTCATTCCCGAAGCGTGACCCTCTTTACTCCATATTTACTTGGTGCTGCAGCGGCTACCACAATCGACTGCAATCGCTGCATGACGCTGCTATCCGAAAGATGGACCAGTGTCTATTCCAGATACACTTGAATATTCCGAAACTTTGGAACCACGCCTCATATAACCCCTTCGCGGATATATATATATATATATATATATATAGTTGGCGGCATCCGGTTTTGGATTTGCCTGTCACAGATGGACCATTAGTGGCTTACGCTGCACCACAGCTCCATTTACCCACTCTACATCCGGTGTAAACCCGAAGGAATAAGGCCGGAATGCGTGTGGATGGGAGCCAGGTTTCATCAATGGAGCCGGCCCACACTTCTTCAGCACGCACAGCAGTAGCATTCCTGTCCATTCAATTTGGAATTCATTCGTACCAGACATACACAAGGCGGTGGCTGGTCCGTAGCGCGCTCCACACAGAATGGAACCGCGCCTTGAGTCTAGCAGAGTCACGGGGAATGTGCACGACGTCTCCCCAAGCAAAGGCAATCTGTTTCCTTGAGCCAGTGTAATCCAAGTAGCGGCTTTTCCACATTCACTTCACCGGGGATATACAACACTAAACACATGATATGAAAGCAAATAAACTTGCACAATAGACATTAAATATGCGGCGGAATGACAAAACAGAACAGGGCAAAGCAAATAAATGTCTCTTATGTCTGATCCAGTTTATTGGTGATTTTTGTCAACTATGAGTGTAAGCAGTGAATATGGGGAGGAGTAACAGAACTGAGCAAATAAATTTAATGAGATTCAGTGAAATCTAGTGTGATGCGGAATCTTCCGTAGGCAACACCTGGAATGCAGATGCTAAGCGAAAACACACTTGCAGACCAACTGCAGCGATATTGTAACGCGCGTGCCACATCGACTGCATTACTGACCTGGGTCAGTAAACGAAACCGGAAGCGGCGTACTTACCAACCACTGTGCTGATGCTTACCTACTCATCTGACTCGTCGCTTCTCCGATGTTGAATCCGCGTGGCCACGCATGGCCTCGTAAAGGCCGGCATAGATAACGTCTGTCGCACACAGAACAGCAGCTTCCCCAACTATTTATATCATTTGTCTTCCTGGTGTCTATACATCTTCCGCTTATCTCGTGTCTCTTGCTTCTGAATAAGCTGTTGGTTTAAGTATCTTTCGCGTCCAGGATGTGTATGTTAAAGCACTCCATGCTCTTCACACAACACTTGTGCTTTTCGATCCGGCAAGCAGATTACTCATTTGTTATCACACCATTTGTAGGATGTCCAAAATGGACATAATGTACTTGTCCAACCGTGTTGTTTTGATATGCAACCCATCCCCTTCTCGGTACTGTATAAGTGGCATTGTTTGCTTCGTTTTAATTTCCTTCCACCCGATTTCACTGAAAATGGCGCCACTCCATTTGGAATGTTGAAATCTCCCTCTTAGCTTGATTCTGTTTGTGTCCCTTTGAGAGCATCGTTTTTACCTGAAGTCACATCAGCACTGCTACTTATCACGGTACCAAATGATACCGCATTGGTTATCTGAAGATAGTCAGATGGCTGCTAGTAATCGTTATCGGG